TTTAGCTTGTTTCCTTATATACTATTAAGAGGTGTGGTCTCCCTAGCTCCTATGTGATGAAGTAGTGATAGCAGAATTATCCCATTAAGGAATGTGCAAGCCTCACGATACTATTGCATTCACTTAGCCTTTCCTCCCAAACTCATTTTCACTTTGGGTTGACGGCGGCCTCATAACCGTCTTGGCCTCATCAGCACCCAAAACGGCAATTGGACTCGGTTAGTGCAGAATATCTCTTTAACATGTTACCATAATTCAACACAGAAACAATGGCATTGTGAAAAATATAATACTGGGTGAATTAAATTACTGAATATGAATATGCTTATATAAAAGGCAAAGCTTTCTTTAATTCCATACCACCCAGAGCTATATCTTCGAGTCAGGTTAGATTCAACTTACGTGATTTCCAAGTCGCTGATTTTCTGATTTCATACATTTGTTTATTTAATGTTTCCCTTCTCTTTTTTTGTGGTGTTTAATGGAGTTTATACATGAGCAATTCAGATGAATAAATCTATCAAACGCCTTAGTGCCCGAGGCATTTTCAAGGCAAGCACAGGTTCGCTTGTTCGACATTCTCCTCAGCACTCGAAAATGTATGTTCCTGAAATCGGCTTTTTATATCATATTCAACAAATTCATACTCCAAACATTTAAATAGGTAATGAGTAATGGTAATTTAATTAGTAGAAATATTTTTTCTGTAAACTATCAAGAGGCTGAATTGTGTGGTACTACGGAAATTTCAACAGGCTTTTTTTTTATTCTGATAGTTGGTCTTCCCACGAGGATCTTTGAATTAAATTTCAGCCTACAATGAATTCAAATGCGTCATTATCATTCCATAAGGACTTAGCATTTAATCCCTCATTTGGTATAATTTAACCTCAATTGGTCACTCGATAGTTTCGAATCAAATAATAGCTATTAAAGACATATATAGTAGATATAAAGAGAAATTAATTTTTGATGAATCTTTCGAGATAACATTGTTTTCATCCGAAACGAGGGATAAAGCCTTGTGGACTGCATCAACATGCATATCGTATAAAAGCCAAACGGCTGAAGTACAACGAGATTCATCGGTCCTCATCTGATGAGATCGACCAATGAATCTCTTCTTCATGCACTTTTATACGAAATGAAAGTCCCCCCAAAATATATAGTAGTATTAAGAGTTTAAAGGCAAATGCATTGTTGTTTCCCTCTAAAATGATGCAAGGTAAAAGATACCTATTCTTCTGTGAAAAGCATAATTTTAATGTAAAACTTTCATAACAGGATCCATGTTTCGAATGAGATACGGTCCACCCGGGACGAGAGCAGCCTTTTGAGATACTTGAAGAAATGAAGCCAAATGCAAAAATCCAGCATACAGTAACGGAATTTAATTGAGGCAAAATTTTAGTATTATTCGTTAGTTCAATATATTTCTGGGGATTTCGTTCAACAGCATATGCTAGCTGTGAGCTAATTCGGAAGCAATGGATAGAAGCACTCCTCTTTTTGTCTCCGATATGAAATTCATGTTACTGCCTAGTTGACTTCGGGAAGAATCCTCCTACAGAGCAATGCTAGAATTCACCCTATTATGGGACGATTTTTTTACAACTTTCGACGAAGCTATTACTTATTATTTCAATTTCGTGATAGTAACATTAGCTTACTTGAGAGCAAAAGGTGCTAAGAACGAAAACTGATTTAATAAACTCTAAAAAGTCTTCTTAACTGCCCGTTTACACTGTTAAGAAATCTTTATTCGTTCCGATAGTTAATAAATTATCAATTATATTGGATCTGCATAAGTATAGTAAAGGCTGATTAGCGGCAAGCCAACTATAAAAAATAGTTCGTTGTTAGGTGCCGTGAAACCAATTTTAAAATGCCTGCTTTGTATCTTTCATACCCACATAAAAGACTTCGTAATCTACTGGTTTAGGATGTAGGGCTTCTGCCTCGCTATTCCATTATATATAGAGATTAAAAGACGCCTCTGGTGGAGGAAGCTTTATTTGTCCACCAAAATGAATCTACTGAATATATATATATATATAAACATATACAGATTGCAGTTAAGGGGTTAATGCCTGCCCATTGTAAAGCAGGAGGCATTTATATTTACTGACTAAACGTGAACATAGAGTCTGGTTTCAGGGAATTTACAGAGCACACAGCCAGTGATGTTCGCGAAGTATTCTAAAATATGCATTTCAAATGAGAAAGGGAGGTCTATATCAGAGTTCATTGTTCAACAAGCCGCTTTGTTGAGCACGTTTTAGGTATCACAGGCGCTTGGAAAGTTAAAAAGGACGGAAGAATGTGACATAAACTAGATAAATATAAGTCAATTAGAGAGAAGAAAACAGATGACGATGAGAAGTTGTAAATAAAGAAGAAAGATAAATAAGGATAAAGATAGTCAATGAAAGACCTAGTAAGAAAGACATAAGTAGGGCAAGAAATAGTGTACAATAAATGAAAGGTTTGTAAGTGGTAAAATAAATATCACATTGGCTTAAGGGCATAAGAAACTAGTCCGTGAAGTGGAGTCGCTCGGTCTCTGTTTCCTGTCTCCGGCAAAGGCACTTCGATACATCGTATACGGCGCCTTGCCAAAAAGGAGCTATAAGAGAAGTAAATAAATGGGTAAGTGATAATGAATGGTGGAGCCAAAAGAGAGCGCCAGGAAAGAGGCATTAGCATAACTTGTCTGGTTTAAAAATATTTGTTTCCTGGTTCAGCTTTTAGTGATTGTATAGGCAATATTTGCAGTATCTTGAACAATTGGGACTATAATCTATCAGAACTTCATGAGACTACAGAGCCAATAGAAGATATGAAGAGTGCAATTCAAAATTTAGTATAGCATAGAGATCAGTAAAAGTTGTGTTTTGAGGCCTCCTCTCACACCAAAAGTGGACTAAGCACATTAGTCAGTGCGAAACCAAAATAGTATTAGAGGTCATTAAAAGTAGACCTAGAGCATGAGCCGAAGTTTGTCTGGAATTAATGAATAAACAGATTAGCAAAGTTAACAAAAGACTTCAGTGAATACTATTCCTTGCGGCAGTCAACTCCACGGCCATCGGCAGTCACGAGTAATGACGGCGAAAAGCTCTTATCTCAGCACTACGGCTTGTGGATGCGTGCAATCACTTCAAGAATGGTGGCATCTGTCTCAAAATGATCCTCGATGTGGCTCTTGGCGATAGCTCTTCGGTGCTACCGAAGTATCATTTTGCCGAGCGTAAACACAAAAATAGTCTTATACTCTTGCTAACACAGTTAACAAAGTATTTGCCTTCTCTGCAAAAGATTTTGAAGTAGTTATACCTTGATTTAATATGAAAATGTTGTTGCTGATCTTTCCTGACTTAGGTAATTAACGGAATGAGATAGGTATTCTCGAAAACCTATGAGAAATATCATACGAATTTTAGCACGCCCTTATTAAGTCTATTGGATGCCAGGTTCAGCAAGTTGTCAGTGGAACCGAAAGACGGCCATCGTTTTCACTGCTACTTTTCAGCTTCAAGCTAAAAAAGAATGCTGCTATAATAGAAGCTAAACTATCTTGGTCGTCATCACCTCCAAAAAAGGTTAGTGTAGATAAGTGGAGAGATCACCTGTACCTCTTTAGAGGATAAAACATGAACGAAAGCAAATAAAGAGTAACTCCATCTATCAAATTAGGCATATACGGTCTGTTATTAGCACATGCAAGAGTAAAAATAAAAAGGTATCAATATAAACAAGCCCGTCATTACACAAAGAGAAATAGAGTGAGCACATTTGATATATCTTAGAGACTAAGGTTAGTCGAAAAGGCTTGTAAAGTACGTCCTAATCGGAAGAGATTTGAGCAGACTGTTTAACATTTAAAATACATATTACGCATTGCATCGGCCAACCTGCTGGGATTGAGATAGCACAAATACATGGAACGGGAGGGAAAATGGGTAAGGAGGCTAAATACCAACTCACCGAGATGAAGTCTTGCCTTGTGAAATCGGCCGAGAGTCTCGTAGCGGGGACCAAGCGCCTCGCGCTTCTCCAGGCCGGCAACGCCACTTCAACTCGTCTGCTCACACCAATGCATTTATATACCATACGGGTCTGTCTTGACCTGCTGGCTCGGCAACTTCGACCCTGGAGACAAGAGGCCATGCAGGCCGTCCAAGAGAACACGTGAGCCGGCCGATAAAAAGTAGCCGAGCCTGCTGCAGCTTGTAGGCTCATATGACGAAGAGAGATACAGTCAAAGGTATACGTACATGTACATGCACATGCAGATGTACATTCACATGCGCTCGGACAGACTACGTGATTCAGGCAAGAGAAAAAGACACGACTTTCCTGGAGAGATGAAGCAAAGAGAAAGCGATATCTGCTAGGCGCGGTCTGGCCAAAGCCAGCTCAGGAGGGGGAATGATGACCTTAGGAAGGTGTGTCTGACGATAGTGGTCCTAGGGTCTCGGTGAAAACTAGACGCAAGGGCTCTGACTGGAGCCAAGAGACTGGCCCGATAGACGCCCGGGAGGCTGCAGACTGAGAAAAGGTAGAAAGACCACCTACAGCTATAGGCAGGCTAAGTCCCCGGGCCAAGTATGACCCGGTTGTCGACCCAAGAATCTTGCAGGAGGCGTGCGAAAGCACAACTATGTCGGCACAACTACGTGTTTAGCCCTGGCGACAGCCCTAAAAGACAACCGCGTGGTTAGTTCGGTCGGAGTGAGCATACGCGTTTGTTTGGGTAGAACTAGGTCCGGCCGGTCTGCTACGTGTCCGCAGGCGATTGCATCCACGACGGCCATCTTGGGGCGCAGGCCAGTTGATTAGGCGCCTATCCGGCTAGAACCCGTTCAGCCGGCCAGCATTGATCGAGGCTTGGCAATCCAGTGGCTCCGTATTCCAGTAGCGCAGAGAGGCGGCAAGTCGGAGGCCAGTTGGTGCGGCAGGCAGGCAGGCGGCTGACTTCTGTTCAGACGTGCATGTGTGCATATGCGTGTTTGTGCTTGATGACGAAACACGCACTCGTGAGTCCGAAATCCGCGTTCACTTGCCCCTATCGCTTGCTTTTGAATTGGCATCTAGCCGAGAAATGTCTCCCTTGTATACGCATACATACATACATACATGCACAACCATACGCATCTAGTCCTCATACAGTCTAAGCGGCCTGAGTGGTAGTAATTACGAAAAGGGCACAGAATGACTCACGCTGTCATGAGAATGAGGCTGTCGGACAGAGTACACAGTCTCAGGCGGAGACAGGCGCACACTAGCGCATGAGAATGAAGCCGGCTTCCACAAGATCACGCCTTGCCTGGGCCAAGACGCCGAATATCGACCCATGCATACATGCCCTGAGAAGCGAGTTGCATTACCGTCGGAGGGCAATTCTGCTAAATGAGAACGGCGGCACGATTCTGGCTCAAATACCGAGCAGACAAGTGAATCGATAAAGGGTGCGCGTTTTAACTCCTACGTCCTGCAAAATGCCAGGCTTGGAAAAAGCATACTTTGCGTAGCAACTTGCCTGGAGCTGTAAAATGAATCATGTAAGCAATAAAATTACTGAATGCAAGTAGGCCCGTTTACTATCAAACTTGGCAGAACTTTTAAAAAAATGAATATTATCACCAAGGTTCCCACCAAGATACTTTACTTTCTATTTCGAAGAAGAAGTTGATTGGGAGGACGTTGTGGATTGGTGGCACCAGAAACCGAAGGAGGATTGCCTTGTGGGTTGTTGTGCGAACAAGTCCCCGGCTCACCATCCTGCCAATCCAACAGATCTGTGCTGAGCTTTATTCTATTCGTTTAATGAAGATTTCGAAACTGTAAATCTTGAATAAGAGTATCAATCACCTTAGTTGACTTTTCCCAAAATCATATGGGCATG